TGCGTCGCTCCTTTTTGCGTCAGCGCGTCTAAGGCAGCACAGGAGGCCCGCCGGGTCGGGCCAAGGCGGCCCAGAGAGGAGCCCAGTCCAGCCCACAGAGGACCTCCCCTTTTCGGCGGCGGTAGCTCCGCCGTGTTCCTTGGAATATCCCCTTGACTCTTCTCTCCTCATCCGTTCTCCTTTTCCTCCCTCCGCATTCTCACCACTCCCATTTCTTCATCTTCCTTCTCATACGCCCTCCTTCATCCTCGTCTCCTCCTTGCCAAGAGGTCACAAGAGTTAGCCAAGATACCCGTTTGATCATGAAGACCAGTTCATGCTCTGATGCATTCGTGGATGTCTCACAAATTTTGGCGATCTCTTGTTTGTTTGGCGGAGCTAGCTCCACGGCTTCCCCGAGTGAGGCCACAGAGCGTCTACAAAGGCCCCACCCCAGGATGGCCCGAAGACGCTTTCGCCACAATGTTGTTCTGGATTCTCTTGGCACGGTCCTTTCCCCTTGCTTTGCCCTTGAGCCCAAGCTAGCCACAACTTGAACGCGCGCGACGCGCGCGACGCGCGCTCGATTGTTATAACCGTAAGTCCATCCCACCATCGTGCCTGAGCCAGAGGTCTCATAGAGGCCACTTAGGAGCTCTGAGGGAGGTTCGCGCTCGTTGAAACTGTTGGTGTCGTGGGCCCAGGTCGGAGCTGGATTCGGAAGCGGCAGACGATCCGCATCTGATGTGTTCGGTTCGGCCTCGTAGCAAGACGTTGTCGGCGCACTGGCGATATGAGAATGTTGCCTGTCGTATGGATGCCCTGGTTTGGTTCGCGTCCCCTGTGTCATCGTGCGCAGAAGGCCATACTGTTACTGCGTGCCGCCCCTCTTGGAGTCGCACGTCCGACCCGAGCGTACAGAGAGTACAAGCATGCCCAAGCCTGTCTTTGTCCAAGCGGCTTTCTCACACAGTGGCGGCCGATGCCAAGAGACACCCTGCTTGCCTCCAGGGTGCGTGCCCTGGGTTTCGATGGCTTCGATGGCTCTGCTGTGGAAGGCAGGACGTTCCTCACCGAAAATCAATCATGGACGTCCTGGGGTCTCAGGGTCGGGTCTCTTGTGGGAGGTGCCTTGTGGACTGGCCTCCATTGGTACCACGCCCGCCACTGCGCTCACCCTGCAAAGACATGTGCAGTGTGCGCGCCACCCCTGCGGAAGCGACACGCACTGTGCAGGTGCGTTCGAGAGTCCGACAGATGGAAAGTCATGGAGGGAGCACCAGATACAGTCAAAAACCCTAATAAGGACGCGCGACTTTGCTCAGGGTACCCTTGCGTCCTTGCTCTTCCTTGCTCTTGCGTCCTTGAGGTTTTCGTCGTCCGCCGCCCCCAAAATCCCAACTTCGACTTCCAAAGGTCTTGCGTCCTTACCGCGCGTCCTTATTAGGTTTTTGACTGTACGGAACGCGGCGAAGAACCGAGTGTCGGACGGGCTCTCACTGTGGCGAGGAGCGATGTTTGTTTGCCAGTGACGCCTTCCTTCCCTCCTTCGTTATCTGCCCTCCGCCCCGTTGATCTCCTCAGGATGCCGAGCGGGCAAATTCAGCATCGGCGCTGGTATGTCCGTGGTCGGGATCTGCCCTAATCCGGTATGTTCTGGCTCAAATTTCCTAATCCTGTTGGGCCCGTCTTTGTTTCGAGCTGAATCCCGCCCGATCCGGCCTCGTCGACCATTAGTTCGGTCTAGTACTAGTAACCCTTACTCGTTCTTGCGAAGACCTCCCAGGAGTTGCCTCCCGACTTCGTGATCCAGGACCCGCCCTCCTCTCGGACGGGGCCAGGACGAGGATAAGCTCCGTTCCGGAGCGCTCCGGAACGCTCTCAGAGAGGTCCGGAACGCTCTGAGTAGGCCGCGGCGCCCGAGACATCCTCCAGAGCCGCCGGATCTCAGTCCCGATTTATCCTCATCCGAGTTTATCCTCGTCCTGCCCTCGTCGCAGCGGGGGTGGCGGGGGGGGCAGGAGGTGGGAGGACCTCGAGATCCTGGCGTCTCATGCTTGCCCGAGGCGGGCGCTCTGCCGCTTTTCCCTCCCTCCTGTGTTCGATGCAGTCCGTGCTTGGCCAGCCGCGCCGCGCGCTCCAGGCGTGACCCGGCCCCCGGAGCGGCCTCGCGCCTCTCCCCTCCTCCCTGCGGCCGTCCCTTCTGTCCCGCCCCCTCCTCCTCCTCGCATGCTGGCACGAGTCGCCGCACTGCCCGGCCGCCGACGCAGCGAGTGCCTGACGACGTCCTCGTCCCGGCCGTGGGGCGGGACGCACGGCCCGGCTGGGCTCCCAGCCAACCCGCGGGCCGGAGAGTTGCGCCGCGGCCCCGCGGGAGAGCTGCGCCGCCCTCGATGCGCAGGTGCCCCGCGTCCTGGCCTCGTCGTAGTCTCTGCCCCCGGGGCCAGAGGAGCAGGAGGATGGGAGGATTGGAGGAGGACGAGGAGGAGGGACAGGAGGAAGAGGAGGAGCAGGAGGAAGAGGAGGAGGATTGGAGGAGGAAGAGGATTGGAGGAGGATGGGAGGATTGGAGGAGGACGAGGAGGAGGAAGAGGAGGAGGAGGAGGAGGAGGAGGAGGAGGAGGAGGAGGAGGGGGAGGAGGAGGAGCAGGAGGGGGAGGAGGACGGGGGAGGAGGAGGGTATGCTGACCATGATGATGCTGCTGCTGATGATGATGCTGATGATGCTGATGATGCTGATGATGACGATGCTGATGATCATGATGATGATGATGCTGATGATGATGATGATGATGATGATGATGATGATGATGATGATGATGATGATGATGATGATGATGATGATGATGATGATGATGATGATGGTGATGGTGATGGTGATGGTGATGGTGGTGGTGGTGGTGGTGGTGGTTGGTGGTGGTGGTGGAGGAGGAGGAGGAGGAGGAGGAGGAGGAGGAGGAGGAGGAGGAGGAGGAGGATTCTCGTCCTGGCCTCGTCTTCTCCTCTGCCCATGGGGGCCGGGCCAGGACCCCCTGCGGCTCGCGCCCCGGAGGGCGCGGCTGCGGCAGGAGCGCGACGCGCCGCCCCGCGCGAGCCGCCCGCAGGGGCAGGGCGGGGCCGCGCCGCGCGCGGCCGCTCCGATGCGCCCATGTCAGGAGGGGAAAAAACACACAGACACAATTAATCGACGACCCCCAGGAAAATATGGGAAAATATGGGAAGTGGGGGGGAATACAGAAACCCAGAAAATATGGGAAAATATGGGAAATCCTTTTATTTGTGTGTATTTATTTGTGTGTCCCAGGGCCCCTTCACCATGGGGTTCTGAGAGTCTGACCTGCAGCCAGGTCTTTCAGATGTGGGGAACGAACAGTGACATGAACGCAAAAACTCGGAGGTGGACCGCACTGGACCGCGCTGGACCCGCGCTGGACCCCCCTGGCGGCGCCCGTGGCGCCGCCCCTGGCGCGCGCCAGGGAGGGGGGTCCAGCGCCGATCCGAGCAATCCGCGCGGACCTCCGAGTTTCTATGGTTATGCCATGTTTCGTTCCCCTATCATAGTAAGGACGCACGGATGTCCTCAGGGTACCCTTGCATCCTTGCCCCTGCGGCCCGTCCTCCGCGGTTTTCCTCGGCCAGTCCTTCAGGGCATCGGCAGTCCACCGCCCAAACAGTGTCCATTTCGGCATCCAACGCCCCTGCGTCCTTCCAACCCGACTTCACCATAGATTTCCACTGCACTTTAGCAATGATCACTAGAAATAATATCGAGCACCGGGGAAGTACCAGAACTGGAGGGCTTTCAGGCGCCGGTTCCTGGGAGGTGGTGCTCGTTTGATGCTTCCGCTCGCGCGTCGGGCAGACACTGTTTCTCACCACCCACCAAGACACCCCAACCCAACCCGAAGGCCTCAATTTGCCATCCATTTCCAGTGTGGGGGGGTCCGGGAACATCGGAAAACACATATGGAGCCTAATTCGGGTCTTCGGGTTGGGTTGGGGTGGTCTGGTAGGTAGTCATCCATACTTTTCTGGGTGCGCGAAAGTGCTTCTGGGATGTGGTCCTCACGTATGATGCAGGCCGCCCAATTGATAAAACCCAAAAAAGTATCCCTAACCCTTTGGGAGGGGACCTAAGCTATTGGGGCCAGAAACATCAGGGATAGGGGGTATAATCTGCAGATGTATCAGGCCAAACCGCCTACAAGTATTCTCTCTGATGCGAAGGCGGGGACCTAGGTGAGGCCACCTGCGTTCAGGGGGTCTCCAGGTCGCCCGATGATACCAAAGAGCTATCCAGCTGTGACTGCGCAATTGTTCCGCCTGGCTCCAGGACGTGCCTTGTGACTTCTGGACTCGAGCCTCGGCGGCCGCGGCTCGCAGCGCGTAGTCGCGCACCGTGATGCACTCATGCACACCTGCACGCCTGCAGCAACTCACGCAGACTGTGTGCAAACACGAGCTGCAGTGGCAACGATGCTCGGCTCAAGTGTGATGAGCAAAAGCAATTTCGGGTGATAAAAGAAACTATCACACCCGTGGGCGGCGCGCCGAGGCGGCCCCATCTCAGACTTGGCATCGCTCGGACGTGTTGTGCATGTTTTCTCGGCGAGGGCCATCGAAGATCATCCTGGATCCATTGGCGAACAAAACAGCACGCGCGGACCAACAAAGGCACGGGGCATGGAGTGAGCGGGCGAAGAGCGATACAGAAGAGACACGTCCGCCGTCATGGACGCCTGCCCCCCCGGGCGGCTGCAAAGTTTACGCCCCTGCGGTGCCGCGTAGGGGCACGAACTCTGCAGCCGCCCGGGGGGCAGGCGTCCTCGACGGCGGACAAGTCAAGTTTGCAGCCCGACGGCGGGGTGCAGATGTTGCAGCTTCGGTTTGCCACTGCCTGCCGCGCGCCCGCAGGCGCCGCCCGCTCGCCCGCCCGCCCCCGGCGCGCCCCCCAGGAGCGCGAGATCCGCCACGTGGTGGAGAGGCAGACCAGGCTCTTCGAGCTCGCGAGCGGGGCCAAGGCCGTGCGGTGCCCGCGGGGGGGGGAGCCGTAGGACTCGAGGGGGCGGCGGCTGGACCTCGCCCGAGAGAACTCACATGAGCGGAAAAACAAACATGGGGCGATCGCAAACATGGATCAAGGGGGCGTGGATTAGCGACGGGTCCCGTTTCCATGGGAACTCGCGGATTTCCGCCGCCGAGCGAGGCGGCACCGGCCGCATATTGGGGAGGGCACCTCCCCGATCCATAGATTTGGTGACCGCGCGCCAATTACATGGATCGCTAATCCATGTTTGCGCGCCCCCGAAAAAACAGGTTCAACTGCGCCGACATTCGCGCGTAAACTGCTCACGTAAGGTCGCGCGTGAGCGCCCTCGTCTCCACTGGCGTGCCGCGCCGTCGACCTGCGTCAGCCACAGCGTAAGGTCACGATGCCATTCGCATGAGCCTCCAAGGGTGTCCGAGGATCGGTCGGTCCGGTTGCGTCGCGGTCGGTTGCGTTCATTCGATCGGTTCGGTTCGGTCGGTCGTCGTGCTCTTGTTTCGTCGTTGTGTTCTTCTAGGTTCTAGGTTGCCTCGGTCTGTTTGCTTCGGTCGGCTATCGGTTCGCTGTCGACCTGGTCGGTGTTCGATGCTGGCGTCGCCGCGGACGGCCATGGCCTCGCACTGACCTTCCCGAGGCCCCAGCCCCCTCCTGTGACCTTGGCTTGGTGCTCCGAATCCGATGTACTTTGAGCGCTCTGCTGCTTCAAGAGTCGAAGGGGCTTCCTTTTCCCTTATTTCAGGGCGGGACGAACCTCCAATCTACCGCAATCGCTCTCCATGTGAGCGACGAAAGAAAACGGGGTCGTTTGCGCCGACATTGGCGCGTAAGCTGCCCGCGTAAGGTCGCGCGTAAGCGCCTTCGTCTCAACTGTAGCGTGCCGCGCTGGCGGCCCGCGTAAGCCACCGCGTAAGGTCGCTGTATCATCTCGCGTAAGACCCGTTTTTGATCGTGGCTCATGTGATGTTTCATATCCCGAACGGCGCCAAGATGCCACTCTGAGATCCCGCCCCTGTCGCGAAATTTCCGCCCCTCTTCCTCAGAAGCCAGCGCATCCACTACACCCTCCGGAGTCTGGCGACCGCAAGGGTTTGGACCGCTCTGTTTAGCTTTCTGGCCTTTCGCATTTGGGATGCGTCCTTTGACCCAGGTGCTATGCTCGCATAAATCGGCCAGCCTCTAGGAACTTAGGTATTGAGCGCCGCGAGCATGCAAGAATTCACCTATGGCAGCACCACGCCGGCAGAAAGCCACCGCGAATGCAACAACCGGCAAACAACTCCATTCTTGTGACCAGTGTTTGCGATGATTGAGCGTTGCAACCAGATAACATCGCGCAAGCTAATCATCTGATGTGGCCATCGTAGAGAGGTGTAGGATGCAAGGTCCTGGCCCCGAACACATCGACGCCTCGCAGCCTGGCACTTACCGCCCCCGTGGTGTGGCGAGCGCCGCCCTTCGAACGACTCCTCGAACGGCTTTCCGCGGAAGCCAGTGCCACAATGCGCCAGGAGGCGCCGCGAAAGTCAGTTACGTGAGCTGTCTCGCGAACTCTCTCTTATCCTATCCCCCCCTGTCGTCCGACCCACCAGGAGGTGTCACTCCTCCTCCTCCTCCTTCTCCTCCTCCTCTTCCTCCTCCTCCTCCTCCTCCTCCTCCTTCCCCCTCCTCCCTCCCTCCTCCTCCCTCCTCCTCCGCCGCCTCCTCCTCCTCCTCCTCCTCCTCCTCCTCCGTGGGCTCTTCACAGCCTCCCAGGGAAGATGAATGGGTGTCCGCGGCTCGGTCGGTTCTGCTGCGTCGCAGTCGGACTCGTTGGGTCGGCTGCCGTGTCGTTGCTGTGTCTCGGCGGCGATCCCGGGGGGAAGTGAGAAGGGGAGGGGCTTCTCAGAAGGCTCGGAAGTCCCCCCAGCCTTCTAAGGAGTTTCCTGAGCCTTCCCTGAAGTCGCAGAAGGCTGCTCAGAGGGCGCGATGGGGGCTTCTGAGAAGTCCCGCCGCCTTCCGAGGATGCCTTCTCCCCCTCGCTTCCTCCCCCCTCGCTCGCCGCTGAGCGTCGCTGCGCCCTTCCAGGCGGCCTGCGGCCCATCGTTTTCGGCCGGTGTCGTTGCCGTCGCGGTCAGCCCCGTCGGTTTTCGATGTTGGTGGCGCCGTGGGCGGCCTTTATTCGGAAGGGGGAACGAAACAGACACAAATGATCGTCGATTCTCCAGAAAGTATTGGAGAGTGTGGGAAGATCTGGGGGGGGGAGAACGAACCTCACGAACATGCGAGAAAGTACGTATTTCTTTGTGTGCTCCTGGGCCCCTTCCCCTTCATGAGCCCAGCGTGCCCCCCCCCCCCCCCCAGAGGGCCCCCCCCCCCGGGCCTTCCCGGCTGCCGCAGGGGCCTCTCCCAGCGCTTCCTGCCTGTCTGTCTGCCCGCAGCCTTCTGCATCCCTGACGGACGCGCGGGCAGGAACGCATGAAGCAGGCCGGCTTGGATGTGCAACCTCGTACACGGGCAGGGCCCGCACAGGATGCATGGAAGGGCTCGGCGCTCCTGGGGCCCCCCAGTGCTTCCCGGGAGCCCCCCTCCCCCGGGTCTCTCGGGAGGGGCCGCGGCCTCCCACGGCCGACTGCCAGCGGGAGCAATTCCTCGCCGGAGAGATCCGTGGTGCGCGACGATGGGGGGTCGTGCGAGGACCGACCGAACCCAAGCACGCGGGCCGCTGCCGTCGCACCACACCTGGCAACCGGCCAGCCGCGCACCAGAGATCGCACCCTTGCCGAGGGCCGCTCTTGCTTGCAGCCGACAGGTGTTGCCTTGGGCTGCCCAGGAGCTCTGCAGAGGGTCCCAGGGCTTCCTGACCTCCGCCCAGGGGCTCCCAGGGTTTCTGGGCCTCCCAGGGGTTCCACGCGCCACAGGACCTTCGTGGAAACGGCTGGGCCGTTTTTTTTCACCGCAGCCGAAGAAGTGTCTCTGGAACACCGCAGCAGCGGAACAGCGGCAAGTGGAAACGGCAAAAAGACGCCTCCAGAATTGGAACCGGAGCCGGAACCGGCAACAACAACGGCGACGGAACGGGCAGCAGGGACGGAAACACTGCACCAGTAACAAAAAAAGTCCTTGTCGTGTCCGGGGCCCACGACGTGCAGTACTGCCCGACGGCCCGTTCGCGCCGCCAGCGCGTGGAGCCTGGGCCGTCCCCCTCGTGGCCCCCCAGGAGCGTCTCAGGGGCCCGCCTACTATGGGGTCGGAGGTGGATAGACCTCCTACCCTGACACGTCGATTAGCGAATAGGCCGTGTTCGGTTCGCGAGAGGGCGTCGCGGACGTCATGTTTGTGGGTCGAGGTCCGTCGGTTTCGGTCCCAGGCCGTTTTCACTAAGGGGAGGTGTACTAAAGGGAGGTTTGTCCACCGCCGATGGGGGGCCCCAGGCGCAGCGGGACTGCACGGGGCTGCCCGCTTCACGTCCGTCCCCAGCGCGCGGCGGCTGGCCTTACGTCAGGCAGGTCCCTTTACAGGAGGAGTATTCAACAATAGGAAAATCGTCTCACGACGATGTTTCGTGCCTGTGTGCTTTTGTGACGCATATTTTTGATCACATCCGAGAATGGATGGACTTGGTTTGTGCTGACGATTTGGTTTTCTACCATGAATGGGGCAAGGGGGCCAGGCGGACAGCGACGACGGGGACGACGACGAGGGCGACGAGGACGAGGGGGGAGGAGGAGGAAAACAACGACGAGGGGGCGGAGGGTCGGCACCCCTATCCGTCTTATCGGCCCAAACCAGGAGCAACGGCAGAAGAAAGAAACGCATCGGAGTCACATTGGAGCCACATTGACACAATCTTGGGGTTAATCAGGGTTTGCAGGGGTCATCTTGGGGTAATAATGAAATCGTCTCGGGTTCATAGGGTCGTCCCTGGGCCACCTCGGAGCAACATCGGGGTCACGCGGTAGCCTTAGTTCAGTCGGAAGACAATGGGTTCGTCTCGTGTTCTCTTGGGGCCGCAGGGTCGCGTTGGAGTCATATAGGGGCCATCGCTTAGCAGGGGTGGGCACATTGGGGCGACAGGGGTAATCTCGTGATTCTTTCAAAGCCCTGTTGGGTCCATCTTGGAATCATCTTTCCGTTGCGGTGGTTGTTGCTACAGCTGTTGCTGTTGTTGCTGGCGTCGATGCTGCTGGCGCTGCCTGGGCTGCCCGTGGTGCTGGTGCTGGTGTGGACCCTCGCGGGGCCCCCTGGGCCTCTTGGGGCCTTGCGGGAGCCCTCTGACGGCCTTTAAGAGGTCTCCGAGAGGGCCAAGAATTCAACGCACATTTAAAACAAACCGCCTCTTTATTGGAGAGCGTCTTATTGTAGCGCGTCTTGTATTGGGTCCTCTTGGAGCCATTTTGGGGCCCTCTTATGGCCCTCCTGGGCCCTCTCTGACGGCCCGAAGAGGCCTCCACGAGGGCCAAGAATTCAACGCACATTTAAAACAAACCGCCTCTTTCTTGGAGAGCGTAATAATTGTATCAAGTTTGTGTTAATTTCCGGGCCCTCTTAAAAAACCCTGAATCAAGCCCAAGAGAGACACAATGAAGCCCGAAGAGAGTTTTTTTAGCTTCCTCGCGGGGGGGTCACCATGTATCCACTCTTTGTACAATTGCTTCCTCTTGCGGGGCTCGGCGTGAGGTTCGGAGGGCCTTCAGGAGGTTTCCAGCCTGAGGTATCCAAAGACTTCGCGTGAGCTCCGAGTGCGATTGCGCTGCTCTAAGAGGGCTCCGAGACGGCCCCAGAGCGCTCCAAGACGCTCACAGTGGCTTCAAGACGGCCAAAGAGACCCTGCAGACTCCTCTGGGGAGCTCCAAGAGGACCCCCTGGGGGCTCCAGGGTCCAAGAGGCCCACACCACAATTGCTCAATTGTTTTTTGAAGGATTTAGCATTGTCGCTTGTACGGGGTTTCAGCGTTCCAAGAAGGTCCAAGGTCCAAGAGGCCACCAGGATCGCCC